ACCATTGCTGTAGATAATGACCTTGACTGCCTGGCTCAGGTAGTGTTTATTTCTTCACAGTCAAGTTGCTCTTTTTCCATTTTGGGTTAAATTGTGTTCTTCCCCCCAACTACAACTTCATACAGTAAACTCTCAGTACCTCGGAATATTTGGAGATAGGGAAGAGGTAAAGTTACAATGAGGTCAACTGAACCTCAACTGAATATGACTGGTCTCCTTATAAGTAAAGGACTTTCAGATGCACACGTGTACAGAGAGAAGACCATAGGAAGACACAGGAAGAGCCAGCCACGGTGCACATCTGCTATGCCAGCACATGGGAGGCTGAGGCAGGAGGATCATGAGTTCAAGGCCAGCCTGGGCTACATACCAAGACCCCCATCTCAGAAGACAAACAAACAAACAAACAAAAAGACATAAGAAGAAAATAGCCATTTGTTTGTCTGTGGTACTGGGGGTTGACCCTAGGGCTTTGTGCCTGCTTGGCAGGCACTTGACCACAGAGCTTCACCCCTAGTCCAAAGAGGGTTATTTGTAAGCCAAGAAGAGAGGCCCCAGAAGAAGCCAACTCTGTTGACACCTTGATCTCAGACTTCCAGCTTCTAGAACTGTGAAAAGATTCATTTCTGTTGTTTAAGCCACCCAGTCTGTGGTACTTTGTTGTGGCATCACTAGCAAACTAATGCTACAGTCCCCCTTTCCTTTTGAAAAAAGTCATTATGCAGTCCACCCTTAAAAAGTGGAAAGTAGCTGGGAGCTGGTAGCCCACACCTATAATCCTAGCTACTTGGGAGGCTGAGATCAGGAGGATGGAGGTTCAAGGCAAGCCCAGACAAATAGTTTGCAAGAACCCATCTCCAAAATAACCAGAGCAAAAATGGACTGGAGAAGTTGCTAAAGCAATAGAGTGCCTGCTTTGTAAGTGCAAAACCCTAAGTTCAAACCCAGATCCCACCCAAAAAAAAAAAAAAAAAAAAAAAACAAGTAGGAAGTCAGGCTCCACCTCCACAAATATTTCGTATAAATTAGCTATTTTCTTTGTTCAAATTGTTGAAGCTTTGGCCACTCACTCTTTTGGTGGGCTTCTGTGTCCCTGATACACCTCTATCAGGTGTTTTTCATTTAGTTTGTTTTCAGAGCACTTTCTTACTTTTCTAGCACTGAAATGCTCCAGGTTCATTCCTCCTGCAGTTCTAGAATCAACCATTTTTCCACAGAGTCCGGATTCTTTACGTTGGAGAATGGTATTAAAAAGAAAAAAAAGCCTCATTGATACTGGGGGGTTTAGCTTCTAGACTCCCAGTTACAGAGCAAGGAAATATATGTGTATATTAAACTTATGCATGTACACATATCCATACTTTTATATGTAGCCACTTCATTAATATGAACCTAAACATAAGTTCACACTGATGGCTCAAGCTTTAATTCATTACATGGATGGTTCTAGTTTCCTCCTTGCTTTCAGTAAACTCTCACTCCACCAGTGGGAAATGTGACCCTATCTCTCCATTTTTTTTTTTGAGACAGGGTCTTTTTATATACCCAGGTTGTTTTTTAACTCTCAATCCTCCTGCCTCAACCTCCCAGGTATTTCCATCACAAGCATGTGCTACCCCTGGCTTGAGCCTATCATTTTTAATTAGCAAAAGCAGGACAATTCCCAGGTATGTGTTAAGGGGTTCAGATGAGATAAATGGAAGTGTACTGGAGACTGGACTGCTGCTATAAACTCACACTCACCTCATCTCCATACCAGTTTGTTGCCCGCTTTCTGTACTGCATTTGTTTCTCTTTCACACTCTTCAGTCTGCCTGTAACTGATACAGTTTACATCTAGCATTCCTCAAAAGCCCTGTACTAGAGGCCTGGTTGCCAGCTTGGCTTGGCTACTGGGAAGTAGTGGAGCCTATTGGAAGATTTTAGGTCTCTAGAGATGTGTCCTGCAAAGACTGTGGAACCCCAAGCCCCTTCTCACTTTCACCTCCCTAGCTGTAGGGTGAGAGGTTTAGCTCTGCTATATACTCCCTGTCATGATATGTTACCTCAACACAGGTTCAAGAGCTAGAGTGAATAATCATAGCCTGAAACCTCCAAAACTGTGAGCCCAAGCAACCCTCTTCTCTCCCTCTCTCTCTCTATCTATATACACACATACACACATATATATGTATATATAATATATATGTTTTGTTTTTATTTTTGGCGATACTGGGGTTTGAATTCAGGGCTTGCAGGTGCTGTGCCACTTGAGCCACTCGACCAGCCCAAATCTTTTTATAATTTGATTATCTCAATAACTGTGTTCCCCTCTCCTCCTTTTTCCTGCAGCACTGGGTTTTGAACTCAGTCTATACTTTGAGCCACCCCACCAGCCGTTTTGTAAAGGGTTTTTATTTTTCAAGATACAGTCTCAGGAACTATTTACCTTGCAGGCTTCGAACCTTGATTGTCCTGATCTCTGCCTCCTGAGTAGCTAGGATTACAGGTATGAGCCACTGGCGCCTGGCTCTAACTTACCTTTATTCACTAGTTATTCCTTTTTTATTTTCTTGCAGTAGTATTTAAACTCAGGCATTCACACTTACTAAACAGGTATGAGAAGCCATGCCTGCTGTCCTTTTTGCTTATTTTGGAGATAGGGTCTCACTTTCTGCCCAGGCCACAATTCTCCTATTATAACTTTCTCACCATAGCTGGGATGACAGACACTCACCACATGCCAGCTTTTTTCCATTGATATGGGGTCTCACAAACAGTTTTGCCTGGGCTGGCTTAGAACCATGATCCTCACAATCTGAGCCTCCCAAGTAGCTAGGATTGTGGGTATGTGCCCCTGGTGCCTGTCATGCTATTCCTGTGCTCCATGCCCACACTTATCTCCTAAAATTATTCTCTCCAAATGATCACTATTAACTTCCAAATCTACAGGCCTTTCCTTGGGTCCCAGTCACACATTAACCACACTGAAACTTTTTCCTCATTTTGCCAGTGCCACTTGTAGAACACATCTCCCGTGAGAACGTGAATATGACACGAGTAACAGAATAGACCCAAAATGTGAAAGATTAAGAGTAGTTCATTTTTTATTATGGGGAACTGATCTAGGCAAGTTTTCTGCCACTTGGCTACATCCCCAGTCCTCGTTTTTTGAGATAGGATCTCACTATGCAGCTCAGGTTGGCCTAGAACTTCATACATAGCCATGCTGGCCTTAGAACTCATCCTCCTCCTCTCTGCCTCCCAAGTGCTGGAATTAGAAGCATACTCCACTGCACCGGGATAAGGCAGTTCTTAAGTTTACATATAACCATATTAGGATATAAACTTGGTAGGAACAATCTTAAATTACCATGGCTGGCAACATGAGCCACAGACCTAATATACAGGTGTATTCAAGCCAAATGTCTTATAATCAGTAGTCATCACTTTTTAAATTGCCTTTTACAAAGAACATTCACAGTGACTGCAGCTTCTCCGGATAGGTATCTAAATGGTTAAGAATTAAGGAAAGTATGAAAGGTAAGTGTGAGGGGTTTAGAGGTGTGTAGTTTCTTGTTGTTGTGACAAAACACATGAGAAAACAACTTGAACATTTATTTTGATTGTGTTTCAGAGGTTTCAGACCATGGTCACTTGGCTCCTTTGCTTTGAGGCCCCTGCATTCCATTCTTTTAGGCAGAAAAGAATGGCAGGTGATAAAGTGGGTCACCTCATGGTGAACGGGAGGCAGAGAGAAAGAGGCATGGGCCAAGATATACTCTTCAAGGCAGTCCTTCAGCAACTTATGTCCTTCAGTCAGGCTCCACCTTCCACAGTATCCATCATCTCCCTAGTCCACTGACTAAGCAATGCATCAGTGGATAAATGATACAATCACGTCCCCAAAGCCCCTTCTCTGAACACTCCCCCTGGGATCAAGCTTTGAACTGAGACTTTGGGGAACATTTCACATTCAAACCACATGAGATTATGTACAATTTAAACGAAAAATCACTGTGCTGCTTGGACATTGTGGCCCTCATCTACTCAGAAGGCTGAAGCAGGACCATGTAAGCCCAACAGTTAAGAGGCCAGGCTGGGCAACAATGCAAGATCCCCCACACCCCAACACACACACACAAACCCACTGTGGCTGCTACATTAAGGATTGAAGTGGAGGGTGTGTGGGGAGAGCACGATATGGACACGGGAGCAAGAGTGAGGAGTGATATATATAGGAGGTATGGCAGTTGCCTAGTTAAAGAGACAGTAGCTTTTGGTATGGTGCCACTAGTGGATAGAAAGAAGCAAACCAATGTATTTTGGTGGATGTTGTTCACAGCCTCATCCAAAAGGAAGACGCGAAGACACCACCAAGGTTAGTTTTGAGTACCTTAGCAGGTGAATGCATGGTGCTATCATTTATTGAAGATGCTGAAGAAAAAAAACCCTTGTTTTTATAGGCCATATTCTCTCAACTTCTTGCCTTTATGAAAATAACACTCCCATCTGCCTAAAACACTCTTCATCCTCTGCTCTCATCTGCTCTTACAGCAACTCATCTCTCAAAGTCACCTCTAAAACACTTCCATGGTCTAGCACTCATCTTAATTACCCTCTAAGTTAAAGAAACCATTTCTCTAGACTTCCTGGAACGAACTTTCTACCTTTTTCAGTATTTTCTGTCTTGCATTAAGGGATAGATATTTCATTCTCAGAAAACTGTTGTGTGCTATTTGTGTCATCCATTTTTCTATATCCAATACTACTGCACTAGTGTTTTATACATCAGATGGAGAGGACTCACAATCCACAAACATTTCATCTTAATTACAAAGCTTTTACAAACAAGTTAAGGCTGCAAGGATTTCATCAACACACATTACTTAAACAAAACCTAAGACTGTAAGTTAAATCTATTCCGCATATAGAAGTGACTGAACTTCAGAAAGTGTCTGGAAAAATATTAACAATTAAAGAAGACAAAGCTGCAAATTAAATCAATAACAATTAGGTAGATCAATTTATTTTTTGGGTATTTTACAAGTATAATTTTGGACAGACTATTTGACAAATTTCAGCATTAACTGCCAACTCTACAGACATGTTTAACAAAAAAGCATTTACTCTTGGCCCTTTTAATACAGGCAAAGTGTCCTATTGCATAACGAATGGTAGAGATGTAGTAATAGATTTGAGGGCATATTAATGAAGTAAGATGTTTTCTTTCAACTGCTAGTAACATAATACAAACATACATTAATGGCTATCACAACCATCAGTGATTTGTAGATTAAAACTTACAAGGTCTACTTACTTAGGTATAAACTAGTGAAACACTACTCAAAATGGCATTTTTAATCTGTAGACTAACCATCACAGAGGTTTCTTTGATCCCAGTTTTACAAGATGTAGTGGGGGAGCTGGGGAAAAAGACACAGGGAAACCGGCAGTGCGTGCTAAGTTACAGAGTTGGGATAGTAGTTCATATTAGTCCTTATCCAGATTAGAATAGTTTAGAAAACTTGTAATGTCCTAAATTTGGTATATTCAAAATGATAAAGGATGAATAATTCATCGGTCTTAAAACCATTTAGTAAGTGCCTACAGAGGACTTTAGAAATACACAGGGATGTGCGTGTATAAGAGGAGATAAAAGAAGGAAAATGAAAAGTAGAAGCATGTTTGCTGGGGAATGTGAAAGGCCATCAGAGAAACTGCTTTGGTAACCACTCAAAAATTCCCATACACTACCTGCTTCTAGTAAGTAAAAAAACAACTGATTCTAACTGTTGAAGTAGTAACAGAGGCCTTACCAGGCCTGCCTTGAATAGTTAAGACATTTTTAGGTCAGCAGCACAAGATTATTGAAAAATTTGTAGACTACAAATTCAATTCAAACAATCCCATCCCATTTACTAAGAATTATAAGATGGAGCCTTCAAGAATGAATGTGTCTCGGAACCATATGAAAAGTAGGAGCTACTGGTCATGAAACAATTTCACACTTTAGTCAATTTTCATAAAGTATGCTATGTCCAACTTCAGTTTACTCTAACATTAATTTATAGATAAACAGGACAATGGCTAAAGTTAGCCATTTCTCAACCGAGAACTCTGAAATAATAGAAATGGAAAATTAAGCTCCGCTCATCAAAATCTTCATTGAAGTGATTTAAAGAGCCTGTAGAAGTGTCAATAGACCAAGCTTTGAAACAGAAAAAAAAAGTAGAAAAATTTAAAGCCTCTATGTCAAGCACCAATAATCAAGGCTACACAATTTTACCTACAAATCCTTAATGACAGGTCTTTCCTAATGGAAAATCCTGAGATTTTAAGCACTGTGACTTCACAGAAGGCAGGTTGGTTTAATGAGGAAATTTACTTTTAATAAAAAAGACAATCAACAGCATTTTATTTTGGGCACTTACTCAGTATTTCACAGATCCTCAACAAGCTTTGAGGTAGGTTACATATTAGCATGGTATTTTACAAATTAAAATTCAAGCAGATGTTATGTCACTTGTCATAAACCACAGGAATCCCATCATGGTCAGGAATAACATGATCTCTGCTCTTTCAGATTAGTCTTATCTGATGTTGGAATTTAATGGTAATAGCTTGCAAATATTCATGAAAAACAAGACTAGATGTAATAGAAATTTTACTTTGGGGTATTTAAAAATTCTTAAATTTATCTTATAATGAGTTACACACATTGCAGAATAATCTACTTGCTCTTGTTACAAATGTATTTATATACAACTGAACCATAAAATTAGAAATAAGCACAGTACTGAGTTTGTTGCTGCTCTGCCTTTTGGGGTGAGTGGAGCAGGACAATAAGCCATTTAAGTGCAGGTGCTGTGTTCAAGGCACCATCTACTGTAATTTAGAATCACAGGAAAGCAGGTATACTAATGGATCCAAGACCTAAAAAAGATGACTGGATGCAAAGGAGGTGAAGCTTTGTGCAAGTCAAAGACAAAGAGAAAAACAGTGTCTCAGGCTACTGATCCTCATTGTGCTACAGCATTACAACTTGGGAAAGAGCTCTAAGAAGATGGTAAATTTGTCCGGATAAAGTTCAGTAAAGTTCTAACTAGATAAACTGTAAGTACAATTAAATTATTTTATTAAAATGACATCCACAGAAGGAAATTCTGAAAGTTTTAAAACAGATGAATGTTTTATCTATCATGTAAATTACTCTAATTGTCTCAAGCCTAATTCTCTTAGCCCAACATAATTATTTACCAGAATTCTGCTTTTCCTGACATAGTTTCCTGGACCAGTCTTCTCAACTATTTGGTTCATTATAAAGTTCCCTTAGGGATAGGGATGTAGCTCATTGCAGAATGCTTCCCTAACGTGTGAGAAACCCTGTTTGATCCCCAGCAGAGAAATCTCAAAAGTTTTTTTAATTTAAACTGTCAAATATTAGCAATACAGAATTAAGTGTGGTTCACTGAGCAGCTAGAAAGAAACCATGAGAGTGTTGCAGAGCAAATTTAAAGAGAAGACATAGATACATGCTTTCCCATAAATTGAACTGCCCAATACCATGAGTCAAAGAAGATTTAAAAAAAAACAAGATTGGTGGGAGAGGAAGCAGAAAATGCAAGCCTTTTACTCTACTGTCCCCAAAGCTGAGTATGGAAGTAAAAAGTTTCTACATTTAGAAAGTTTATATAAATTACATGAGTTGCAATTTTCATAAATGCCAAAATGAAATGTTTTGCAAAGGATAAAAGATATGCCTAAAGAAACACATCATATTTGCACAAGGCCACTGAAAGTCATGGTATTAGTAACAAACAAAAAAGTTTAATTCTATGGCAGACTGAGCAAAGCTTTCAGTTTTCTATATGCCCAAGATTGTAAACTATTCTTATTTTATAAAAGCTGTAATGATATTTTGTGTAGGAACTCTTGTGCTTCTAGTTGGCACATTATCTACTTTCTAGTATGTGAAATTAATACAGACATTTGTGAAAGGTTGTGCAAAATATTGTATTTACAAAAATGGCACAAAAGTGAATGCAACAGTCAATGCACATGCGTACTTCATTCACATCTTCAACAATGAAAGGAATTCTAACACTACAGAACTGAGTAAGACACTAGCTTCAATGATAGCTATTAGCACTGAAGTCACATAAGTTACACCAGAATGGACAAATATTGCCCAAGTAAAATTCTATATTGTTAAAGCTGAAACAGGTTTAAGGCCATTCAAGTTCAAGCACAGTTAGTCAAATCTTTTGGAGCCCCATCTACTTGTGTCTGAATTATGTTACTTTCCTTCCAACTTGTGGTCTTAAACTTCTGTTTTTACAAAATCCAAAAGGAAAATACAGAGAAATCAATACAACAAAGATTAAATAGGAGTAACATACAAAGCTATAATTAAGATGAAGTAAGGAAAACCAAAACATTAAAATTGTAAAACTTTGCTTGTTACTTGTTGGAACCAGTCCTACACTAGGAGTTAGGTAATATATACAATTATTTTCAAGTAGATTACTTATGATGCTCTAACATGTCCTTTTCATCAGTGCAGTGTTAAACTAATCAAAAACTCTACACATGTATATTCCCTTACAATAGCAGCACACACTACCGCTACCTGCAAAGCTGTCAGTCTCAAAAGACTTAGTGAATGAAAGGAAACAAAAAGTGGGTAAGTAAGATATTAAGGAGAAATAACGGGAATTAGAAGACTCATGCAGTTCATCTCTTTTAATCAGCCAGCCAGCTTGCTAGCAACGAGGGATGGTTTTCGCTGAGGAAGGTCTTGTGGAGTGGGAATGTGGTCACCAGTGACCTCTGTCTTATCCGGGGCTGCAGTAGGAAGTTGCTTGTTCTTCATCTTTGCTTTAGCCATGTTATAATCCCCAGAATCAAAATATTTTTGCTACAAGGAAAAAAAAAAAAAAACAGATTAGATTTTTCCTTGCTAAGGAGGCGCTGTTCTGCTTGAGCCACAAGTCTAATCCTTTTAGCATTGGTTATTTGAGCCGGCACCCCCTTTTTCCTCAGGCCAATCTGCATTGCAATTCTATTTACGCTTCTTCATATGAGAAGAGCATGCCACTGAGCCCAGTCTTTTCTTCTTTGAGGTGGGGGGTCTCATGAACTTTTTTTTGCTAATGCTGACCTGGAGCTGTGATATTCCTGATGTTGGCCTCCTGAGTAGCTGGGATTACAGGCAGGAGCCCCTGGTGCTCAACTCAGATTAAGAGTTGAAAAGCTTTCACATACCTTCATATACCATTAGGCTGAATTAAGATGCAGATGTGACTCTACACTGACAATATAATATGAACTGGTCTAACAAATTTGAACAGGACCATTAGTTAGATGAAACAGTTAATGCCTCTGTATTGAGTTCAAGCATAAACCAATAAACTGAGAGGTCAAGCAAGAACTCCTACCTTCAAGTTTACTTGGACCAATCTGGTTTTAACATAGAACCCACAAGACTGACATCAAGTGATCCAGGAATAAAAAGTCCTGCACTCAAGAGTGAAAAGCAAAACTTTCATTTACAAACAGAACTACCACACAGAAATTCTTGCTTAAATGATTTTGAAAATAAAAATATAATTCACTAACTTGCATTTAAGATGTGGCAATGAGCTACCGGCTATTAGTACTTTGTCATCTAAGATGAACATTTCTGCAAGAACTTAAATCATTTATTCAAACTAGGGCAGTTTGAAAAAAGTTATGATAAAATATAAATGCTAGAGTAATGGAAGAAATAACTTACTAAAAATTAACTCACTTAAAATGTACTTCCTTCATTTTTCATACAAAGACACTAAGTACAATACTGTTCATTTTAGTTGGAAGGAGGAATAAACGAACAGTCATGCTGTTTACAATAAAAAATACAAATTGTGATGACCGCTAAAATTAATCTTAGTAATTAATCTTCCTGAGTTCCAGAGTATTAACATGAATTTACTTGAGTTCTGACTTACACCTATCATGTTAGCATACTTTTTTTTTTTTTTGGCGGTACTAGGGTTTGAACTCAGATCCTCCCACATTCCACCAGCCCATATTTTGTGTTGGGTATTTCTTTTGAGATAGGTTCTCATGATCCTTCTCATCTCTGCTTTCTGAGTAGTTAGGATTACATGTGTAACACACTTTTAGTGAATGCCTGCTATGCATGAGGCACTGTACAAGAGCTGGAAAGAGATATAAAGAAAATAGTCAAATACATCAATATCTAATGCTGTCTTAAAAATACATGGTGACATATATGGGTGCTCAAAGGAGGTCAATATAACTTGTCTGGGGATGGCAAAGGAAATAATACAGGAATGAAAAACAGCCTATCTGGAGAGTGAATGGATTAAAATTGTCTTAGAGACTTCAGGAACACCTCAGGTCGTAAAATGAAGTAGCTGAAGACTCACGGCTTAGTATAAGACAGTTAAATGCTCCACGAAAAAGGTCTCATGTGCTGCCTCCCTTTAGGAGCTATTCTTTGATAGGCCACCTCTCACCTATGACCAAAGGATCTGAGGTCAGAAATTGTTCTGGGTCACTATACAAGCATCATATGGAGCAGTAATAATGAAACTTGGGCCAGGCACTTCTGAGACTGCTGCAACTTCATTTGTCCATGTTTTAAAATGAATATAGAAAAAAAATGTTCCAGAACGCTGATGCACTATATACTGAACAGCTGCTTCTGAATTTAGTGGCATTTGGAGAAAAACCAGCTAGTAAATTTCTTACTGTGTCAAAAATACCAAGTGAGGGCTGGTAGAGTGGCTCAAGTGGGAGAGTGCCTGTGTAGCAAGTGTGAGGTCTTCAAGGGGGGTGGGGGTGGTCAAAAGTACCAAGTGAGAAATTTAACATTGCAAATTTTAGGCAGATTTCCCTATTACAAAGAATTTAGCTTCTACTAAAAACTATTTTATAGTAAGCAAAAGTTCATCACAACAGGATGTCATTAAAGTGCTTACTAGGCTATCTTGCTTAGGGGAAAGGAATTAAATTTCTTTACTGTGTTGGGCTAGAGGTATGGCTCAAGCAGTAGAGTGCCTGCCTAGCCAAGTGTAAAGAATTGAGTTCAAACTCCAGTACCATCAAAACAAATTTGTTTACTGTGGCTAAAGATAATGCTTGATAATTAAAACTGCCCTCCAAAAAGAACAGATTACTACAAGACAATGAAACCTTATACAGGGACTCAGCAAAGACAATGATACAACAAAGATGTCAGAGAAAGAAGTTAATGCTTTAGACAAGATTCACTGTTCATGTTTCTCATATAGGGATCCAATATAGCTGTCTCTAACAATTCCTAGATTTTGTGTTTCTAAACAAAAATATCTAAAATTCAACAGAACTTATTTTTAATATCTGGATGGTAATTTTATGAAGTTCCCCCCATTTGAATTTAAAACGGCTGCTTCATCTCCCTCCCAGCTCTGACAGACATAGTCACTGTGTACATGGTCTTACTGTTAAAAGCCTAGTAATGTATTACATTTACTTCATAATAACATCATTAAATCAAAATATAAAGATAATAATATGATACAATCTAATCCAACCCTCTCAAATGATGAAACTATTTAAAGATGTTAGATTAACTTGCCAAGTCTGCTAACTACTGACGGAGGAAAACCAAAATTCAGAATCAGACTTTAAAAAAAAAAAAAATTACAACTTCATTTCCCTAATATAAACTTATCCACTGACTGGCACAATACAGAATCATCAAGAGCTTACTTCTTGATTCAACTGGCATTTTCATTTCCAGCTACATCTACAATACCAACTCTAAAGATACAATACACATTAGTTCTCATGTGAAGATACTTAAATAGTCACAAACAGTGAAGCTAGGGGAAAATTACAATGAACAGCCCATATACTGGAAGAAAGCTTGTTAGCCAAAGTTGTGCTAAAGAACAGAAAAAGAAGTCTACTAAACACTAATAATCAGTCAAATACAAACAGTAATCTAGCAGCCAAAGAGATATATACATGTAATTTATTCAATACTGAGAATATACCTGATAGTTCTACTTAATAATTAGACTTGATTCATATACGTTCTACAGAGCTAGATTCATAATGAACATGGCTCTCATATTGCTTATTCCACCTATCCCCCACATATCATGATTTTTATAATCACATTTAAAAAAATAACTACATAATATATAAAAATTCTATTTTGTTGACTCATTACAACTTAACCATTTCTCTGCTGCTGAGTACTGACACTGTTTCTATTTAAAGCTTCTAGCTAAAACTACAAGGAAGTCCTCAGACCTGAAGCTGTTTTCCTCATATTGAATTATACCCTTAGATTGATTCATAAAGTAATCAAATAATGTAAATGATTTCATCAATCTTAATATCCCTTTCCAAAATAAGAGTAAAAATTTTTAATGTTTACACAAAACTAAAAGTGTATAAATTCCACTCAATTTCAACCTCACCAAAAGGTACCTTAAAAAAAAATACTTTTCTAATTTAGATGTATGTATATTATATTATATGTTATTTTGATGATTTCTATCATGGATAAACACCTTTGTGTTCAATTATACTTCATCTGTTAAAATCCTTTATCTAGGGGTATTGTAATGCATTTATAAGTTCCCCATTTTTTGGTAATAATGTCCTTAATGGATTTCATAGTATAGAAATTTTTCTTATTTTATTATTTCAAATCTGTGGCTCTTATTATTTCATGTAAGAATAAAGAACGCCATTCAATTTTTGAACTTTAACATGTCCACTTGCCTCACAGACATTTTGTATGCAAGCAGCAGATATTATTTGAAGGTGCTTAAGCTGAAGACAGAGCCCTTTTAATTTTGTTTTTCTCCCAAGAGGAAGGGGTTAGAAGAGAATACTTAAGGAACAAACATGTAATCTCTTTTCTCATTGTTGAGAAATAATCATTTCTACCTCACAAAAAGACATGGATTTTGAAGAAATGTTTTCAGTAATTTGAGCTACTAAATTACTATATATAAATTGTATTAAAGTAACTAACTGTGAAATATATTGCCCAAAGGACACAGTAAGCTGTGCTTATCTAAGTGATCATTTCATCCAAATAAAAAGGTATTTTAAACCTTGATGTCGAGTGGGAATCACCATTAAAATAGGCAAAGTTTAAAAATATGGGCAGCAGGATAAATGTCAGTTTCTGGACAGCAGTTGCTTTTGGAGAAAAGGGAGACTGGGGTGTAAATAAAACACAGGATAGGTCTGAATTAGATCTATACTTGCTTCCTTACAAAGGTAAAACTGAAGTAAATATGGAAGAATAAGAATATATTAAACCCAGGTGCTGGGTACAAGAGTTCTAATCATCTATGCTACATACCTGAAATAATTATAACTTAAAACATTACAGTTGTAGATTATTCCTATACATTTATGGGATGAACAGTGTAAATCAGAAAACATTATATACACATGCACCTGGTAAGTGCAGAACTAAATATGCATTCATTTCACAATCTCACAGAGCGTGAATATTTGAGGATTCTACACAACTTACCCCTTTCTGCAATCGTTTCCTTAAAAAATCTGAACCGCCAGGCTTTTGTCCCAGGTGAGGATACCTTGCTTTTAATTTTGCTTCTTCAGCTTTCTCTGGACTAGTCACTTTATCTTCCATTTCCTGAAACAATTTTAAATAAATTACTTCTCTACTACAAAGTATCTAAAACAATCCACCTTTTAATATTTGGATTCTGGTTTAGCTAATGCCAACACAGCATCTGACTAAGAAATCAAGTACAGAAGCTTTTAAAACAGCTCTATCTTGTTTTTCAGATGTCCCATGTGACAGCTCTATTATAGCTGTGATGCATGTGTAACACCCCACACACTGGATAAAAATATCAAGATAGCTCAGCTCTGAAGTCTTGCTTGTCATTACTTTCCAGTTATGTATAATACATTTATAGTTAGTCACCCTCTATGGAACTCTTCAGCTCTTTGTCTATATTTAGAGAATCATCCTAATACTGCTAAAATCTTAAAGATCTTTTTTGATTTTCTCTTTATCCAAAATTATGTATGAAGATCCTTAGATTCTTAACTAGAAATTAACAACAGCCTACTTACTAGCATAATTTTTCTGAATAAATTAATATAGAAGACCTTGATATTTATAAAGGAGAGAAATTATCTTTATTAATCCTCACATCTGGATTGAAGTGCCCTGGGTTTGATCCCCAGCATTGGAGGGAAAACAAAACAAAACAAAACAAAACAAAAAAAACCCCGTGTATACTATTACATAACTTTTTCCCATGTTTAAAACGACAAACCTGTTAGTGTCAAAGATCTCATCCTTTCAATTACCAAAAACTTTTTTTTGATGGTGCTGAGGATCAAACTAAGGACCTCATGCATGCTAGGCAGTACTCTTATCAATAAGCTATACCTCCTGTTCTGTCAGTATCTTAAGCCTATTTATTTTTAACAGCAGTCTTAACTTAGTCTACATTCTTCCAAAGTGCAGGGAAGCAATATTTATCACTTTGTGGCAAGTACTGCACAAGAAAGATGAACTGAGAAAAACAAAGCTGTTCTGTGTTCTGCACACCAGATCAGCAAAATCACCTCTATATATGTTGATTCTTCTGGATTATTTATGAACAGTCAAAAAGCAGAAATGTTAAATCCAGACCTATCAAACCAACTGTTCTTAGACAGCAAGTAAATCATTTACCTAGGAATTAAAAAAAGAAAACATGTAATTTTTTGCACAGATTTTCCTCAAATTTAATTTGCACATTTTATAATCAGATTTATGGACTTTACATATTGTCAGTCAATACTTTCTTCATCTTGAACAGTTTCTTCGTGTGTTGTTGTACCTCATTTTATGTTAGGAAGAGTTTGAAGAAGAGGATGCTGCTGCTGTGAAATACATTTTGTGTTCCATAAAGTCTCTTTTTATATGGTATCTGCTCTCATTCTGCTTCAAGTGTTCTACTTATCTCTTTTATGTTGTAGTTTCATACATCTATATTGATTTCTAATCTCCCTATAGTAGTCATATCATTCAGTCACTTTATGTACACAAAACTGAACTGTGTCCTTACTCAGAGAGGGACACTTAATAATTGTGATTCTACCAGTCAATGCATTCAAGAAGGGTGTGCTCAGAGTTCAAGTGTGAGGTATATGATATAAAACTGTGTTTTCCCACTTTGTTCCAAATTTTGGGCAAATGAGTATGACAATGTGCTGTTTATTACTGTACTGTTTAAAAACTACCTCCTATAACACAAGTCTGCTACTCTGGCTGGCACTCAATCATCCTAGCTATATGTTCAAATACTGAACAAAAAAGTGATACCTGACCTATTGAGAACTGATGGGGCAGTCTACAATATCATTATTCCTTCTTTAGAAGTTTTTCAATAATAATTTTAGTTATATACGCTTTATGCCTTACTTTAGAGCCTACCTTCATGTAAGTTATCATGATTATACTCATGACAAAAGCTGGAAAATACAAACAAAGTTAACAGTTTAGGGTAGGAAGGTAGGCTAGGCCATTGCACAGCTGCTTCCATGTGGCTCAGCCTTCACTGCAGACAAGGGTACTTCTCATGCTGCAACTGAAGAAGTAGAACTGGAAGGAGGGACCTCCTTTTGCATTTCCCTGTTAATTTTAAACGGCTGAAAAGGACTCAAAGGTCTATCTAGTCCTCAATCCTTGTATCTTTAAATAACAGGATGTTAATGCAGTTCATCATTTCGTGAGAGAAAAAAAGTTGTACCATATTCTGGCATTCTCTTATTTTTTCATAAGGAATACATTTCCACGTACATTTTATGTAACATTAAGCATACACAATTAAATTTTAAAAAGGAACTGGAAGTATGGCTCAAAAGACAGAGCGCTTGCCTTGCAAGCATGAGATGGCCATTTAGATTTACAATGGACTTTAGAATTTTTATTTTTTTACTGTGCTGGGTGGGATTTTGGAATGTTTTTGTGGGCAGGTTTTTTTTTTTTTTTTTTTGGCAGTACTGAGGTTTGAACTCAGGACCTTGTGATCACTAAGCAGGCACTCTACCACTTGAGCAACTTCACCAGCACGGACTTAGAATGTTTTCTAGAAAAATAAGTACCTGGAACCAGACACACTGGAACACAACTTTAGTCCCAGCTACTCAGAAAGTTGAGGCAGGATGACCACTTGAGCCCAGGAGTTCAAGACTAGGTCAGACACACCATCAAATTCCATCTCAAAACAACAAAAAATATGTAATTCTTGAACTTTCTTGCCAATACATAGATAGCACACTGGTAAGTCCCTGCTAATGCAATGCCATAGTTGGATTCAAATTTTCAGTTGTTCTTAAAACACTACGAGAGGGAAAAAGATATTATGACCTAAGCTACATGTCAAACACTATCAATACTGCCACAATACTTTTCATTAATCATACAAAAACATTCCTAACGCTTTGCAGGTGTAGACAGTTTTAGGACCTTACTAAGAAGCAACTTCAAATGCTTGGCCTTTCACTCACATTCTGACAGTTACAGATTTGAGTGAGGTGTAAGTAACAGATCAGGAGTGGGCTGTGTCTGTTGGCATTCTGCCCCCATTCACACCCTTCTCTAAATGCTTTTCTGAATCACTACAGCTAGGAGCTTAAATCTACATTTCTCAGACGGAGCTCCTAGTAGGTCCTTCAATGGCATTCCATACCAGATGAAGTGTGGGTGATGCTGCCAACAATGGCCAACAGCAGGAGTCCCCTGTAGTTCCTACAGGGAGTTATCCAACAGATAATCAGGAGGTCTTGTAGCTGCTACATGGCAGTGAGGCTCCACATAGTGCTCGCTCATGCAGAGTCAAAGGTTATCTGCAATCGCCTACCTTCCTCTCTTTTGTTCTTGCATCTCTTTACTTAATAATTTGTAACCTAAATCCCCAAGTCATCTCGTTTCTGATTATAATATCAAAAGTGGCTTCTGTTCTGGTCTACCCACAGATGGTAATAAAAAAATAATAAAATCAGGTAAAATAAGCAATTTATCTCTGCAGCTATGTTCAAAAATGGAAAACAGAATTTGGTGACTGCATGTTTCTGTACACCAAAGAAATTCCTAAATACTTTAGAATACTTTAGGTACAATGAAAATAAATCCTAAAAAGGTTTGAGATACAGAAGGAAACAGCAAACAAAGAACTGATACATATGAATGTATACTATAAGTCAATATCCTAACTTCAGTATCATGATATGGGGCTCAAGAAAAGAAAAAGGGATGCAGCTCAGTGGCAGAGCACCTGCATGAGGTACTAGGTTCAATCCCCAGCATCTTAAAAAAAGAGAGAAAGAGAGAACAAACAAATACTATATAACATTATAATAGTTCTAAAGTTTAAATGTTGTATGGCCCCATATCATTTAAGTATTTATATTCATTCAAGATTTTATTTATGTGTTGATGCACAATAAAATTTTAAAGGGTAAACAGAAACAAAGTATACAACTTCCAAAATAGTAAAATAGAAAAAGAAAACCAATGGGGGAAGAAGGGAAATCAACAATGAAAGAGGTAAAAAAAAAAAAAGACCAGGTACTGGAGATATAGCTTAGTGTTTACCTAGCATCCACAGGACACGGGTTACTGTAGGAGGAGGACCATTTATAGTACACCAGCACTGCAATGGGGAGGTGGGGAGGGGGGCTTGATGGGACAGGGATAGACACCACATAGGACAGGAAAGGACACACACACACGATGACCAAGGGACAGAGGACAGATAGGACACGATCAAAAAGAAAAAAAAGTAAGATGAGAGAAATAAATCCTAAAATGCCAAATGATGATAATAAATGGACTGATAAGACTGTCCACCTGAATCCAGTAGATGGATTTAAAAAATATCTAGTCACTTGCTAAGCACCCCCCAAAATAAATAAATAAATAAACAAAAAACCTCTAACAATTTAAGAACACAGGTTTTGAAAGTAAACATATGGGCGAAAATAAAATATCAGGCAAACCTTAACTAAAACAGAGTAGTACATCTTCATTAATGCCAGGTAGCCTAGACTTTAAGACAAAAAACATCAGAAATATAGACGGGGCTGACAGAGTGGCTCAAATGGTAGAGCACTTGTCTTTCAAGTGTGAGGCCCTGAGTTCAAACCACAGTACGGCCAAAGGAAAAAAACAAAACAGAATCTAAATATTTATGCCTCTCATAAAACAGCTTCAAGCTAATGTAAGGCAAGACTTTACAGAACTACAGGAAGTAATTGACAAGTCTACCACCACAGAATTCAACACACCTTCGCAGGTTATTAAGAGGTGAAAAAGGTAGACGTATTCAAGATACTTGATTTTAATTTTGTATCCAACAAATAAGGACTGTATATCTTCTCTAACACTAATAGAAATGAAGCAAGTCTTAACCATTTTCATTCAAACCATAATCTATGACCATAATACATTAGGTTAAGGTTAAATAATAATAAAAATATATTATAAATCCCTAATATTTGGAAATTGAAAACACCCTATTAAACAACTCATAGTTAAAAAGGAAATCATGAGAATCAAAAATACTCAGAACTAACAAAAATGTATGTGAAAACTTGTAAGATATAGAAAGGTCTTCAAGGGCTTATATT